TGCGCCGCCATCTTGGAACCTAAGGTAACATTAACCACAATGAAATATGTTTATTTGATTTCGAACATCACGAATCTCGATAAAATGGCTCCTGCGAACCTTATATGATTGGTATAAATGTACAATTCAAGCGCCATTTTCTTAACAAATTCTAAAACTGTCTCCAAAAACGGTCAGTTGCCTAAACAAAAAATATGGGAACGATGTAAAATAGGCCTATTATTGTAAACCGAAAACCTGTCTAATGCTTAGACGCAATTCTTTGGTTACCAATTGCATAACGTAACCCGTGCAAAGAGGAAGTTTTCGGCGTAACGATAGCTAAATTGTGAATCATAACGCTGTAACTTTAGGACTGAATCATGATCCACCGTCTGTATACCTGAAAATTCTACTCGGTATCGTCGAGTTCCGTTTTAGACAGGTGTTACTGTATTTTCTTAACTTTCTTTAATAACCGAACGTCTTTGAAAACGTCACTGCCCATTGAAAACATCTTTTTGTCATTTCCCATTGTAGACGTCTTCGAAGGAGTTTCCAATGAGCAACGATATTTTACGCTTCCAACGATTCTATCCATTCTTTCATTTTTCTTAAACTCTCCTTGTTCTATTTACACTAAGACATTTTTCAGGTCCATTGTGGATTTGGCCAGGCTCAGGTGAATATCAAGTAAGGCCCCAACGTCAGTGAATCCCACCTGACCCACAATAAAAGCAGTTATATGAAGACCCAGCTGCCTCTATTGTGGGTTTTCAGTGTCATCAGTATCCCTATTTGATACTTGTCATCTTGCAAAGCTAAGTTTATCCTCGATTTTGATTGAGAATGCTAACAAATGTTCAAATGTGAGATAAGAGAGAGACTATCACAGTACACAAAGCCAAATTAAACTGTAATTTAATTTCTTTTATTAAAAATTGCATGATTTGTTTGCATTACACGATGTATAAGACTATTTAACTGTCTACTGTTATTTGCTATAGGTACGGCTCTATAAAATTAAATTTCTTTTTATCACGGGTAGTTTTTCTCAGCATTAATTACGATGGTTTTCTAAAAATTAGGTCCCATAATTTTAATTATTTTTACAGAGAGTAGCTTCTCACTAACGACAGTCGGGGATAATTGTCTCGAAGCGGATAAATTACTTTGGCTACTTTTTTATAAGTTAAATGCATAAATCGACGACGAAGAATCAATCGGCGGACAACATTTCGTCACTGATTTAAAATTAGATTGTACAAGATCTTATGAATAATTTGTTATTACATAAAATACTATACTTTAAAAAATAAGATTTTCATTTTGTTTTGCAACATTGATAGTAATTAATATAAGGGATTATTACATATGGAATTTCTTGGACAATAAATATGCACGCAAGTTTTTCTTATCACATTTTCAATACTATATTACATCCATTAAATATTATTAATGAGTGTAGTTGGAACACATTGGTCATTATAAGCATTTGGTTTTGTTTCTCTTTCTCTCTTCTCCTTTCTTCAAATAATACTTTCAAATTTAAAGCTGCTGGAAGTTCTAAAATAAAGAAGTAAGTGTGTAAGATACTTTTATCTAACTTTTTAATAATGATTTTCAAATTGGTCAGATGACTTATGATAAAAAATAAGTAGAATAATTTGAGTACTACAAGAAATTCTTCTCTTTTTGACTTTTTCTTCTCTGTGGATACTAAAAGGCTAAGTGAGGGACAGGGCCCAACATATCTGCAACAGACTTCTCTTAAATTCCAGGGTTCACCCAGATTTGATCCCTGATCCCCAGAGATGCAGAGGGTGCTGTCTTGGCAATTCAACTAGTATACCACAAGAAATCAAAATTTTTTTTATATGTGCAAAGTGTGCAAAATGACCCTTCTGTTGAGTTTCTCATCTTGCAAGGAATAACCCATGGTATATAACAATGTTGCCGGACATTCATATCATTCAAACTCAATTCAAAGGTGTTTTGATAGTGATCAAGAATAGGAATTCAGTATATTTGCACTAATTCATAAAGGATGCAAAAAACAGAACTTAACACACAAGCACGAGACATTGTATAGCTTACTATATGGATTGATTGCAGGGCTGTGCTGACAGATGAGGCAGAAAGACAACTGTTTCAGGCACCAAATTGGAAGGAATACTAAACTGGTCATAATGTTTATAGAAATATAAGTACGTTGGCATCATTCTTAGGCTTTCCCCAAATGCTAAAATTTTTCAGAATGGTCTCGATCAATTAACATAAAGGGCCTGTCCGTTCAGGTTATATCAAGCCCTTTAAGCCAATTTATCGTAATTGACAATTTCGCTGAAATTAAGTTTTTTTTTAATCTCAAATGAGTTATTATGCATTTCAAATCATGTCACAAAATTCTTGTAACACTGTGACCTTACAATAAAATTCTATTCTTCCTAATTTCTTTAAAGTTTTGTTTACATTTACTCTGTATTGTATGTGACATAAAAAAACTAGGTAAATTTATCACAATTTCTTGTAAACATCACTTACAAAAAATATTTGCCAGGTGGCACTGGCACATTTCAGTTCATTCATATTTTGAATTACAACATAACATAAGTAACTTTTCTTGTTTTCAAAATTGGATCAGTTAGTGCATTTTAATTTAATGATAAATTATATGATTTAAGTTTATAGTAAACAAAAAGTATGTGGCTCTATAATCTTTCTGGGTCTGTAGTAATGATAGCGAATGTATCATAATTGTCAAAACATGTCTTTATAGTTTAAAAATATAAGCAAAAAATATCTTTAGTAGGTAAAATATCCTAAAAATATATTACACAGAGCAAATTTACTTCATAGCTAACATGTAAGAAAAAATAATTAAAAAATTCTTCTGTAAAATTTACTTTTAGTTGGTTGCAATAAATTGGCAGAAAGGGCTTGATATGGCTAACAATGAGTACCCATTATAAATTTATGCACCATCAGGTTAATCAGCTTAGGTGAGAAATAGGAAGTTATATCCTGACTCATACCACTAATAATAAATTATATAGATATGGCTGAATTTAAACTAACTCCTCACAATAATAGTCTATACCTTATTGCATGGTTAATACGTTCTCTATAATTAATTAAAGTATTTACTGATTTACACTGCTTATGATCTCCCCATAGAATTTATACTTGGCTTAATTTTACAAATTATTACTGATATGAACCATAACAATCACAGCTAACACAGTCAGGAAGAAATTCTTGCTCTATCACACTAATCCAGACAAGATTTAAAAGTAATTCTAAAATATAGATAGATAACTTCTTAATTATAGAGTCATCTGACCAACCATTACTTAAATATAATTAAAAAGAATAACTTGGCAAAGTAAATTTTTTTCTTTTAGTGAAATTATATGGAATTAAAAAGCTAAAAGCTATTTAATTTTAGTTATTTTAAAGCTAGTAATAATAGAATAAGTTATATAAAGTATAAAACTCACACCAAGCTGAGGAAGTGGAAAGAAAATTGCATTTTCGCTTGTCTGCCTCCGACACAATTCATTAATTTCATGAGTGATATGTATAAAATCATTGGCGATAGCTTGCCACATGTCAAAGAATATATCTAAATTTTCTCTAGCTATTTTACTAGTAGGATGCAAGCAAAGTGTATGACAGGAAGTTATAATCTAAAAATTAAAATAAAAACATATTAATAAAATTTTTCCATGTCATTTCTTTCATCAGATAAGATGCTACCTATCTTAAAATCACCTTATATATACCTAGAATAACAAAATTTGAGTAACATTATATATTAAANATAGACTTTTACACAAATTTCTGTATGTTTAGAAGTTACTTGTAAGGATTCTGTATTAGCAACATGATGCAATAGCTTGCAAACCTGATTAAAAAAAACAAAAATTACACTAAATTTGACCCATGATCCTTGAATACATTTAAATAATTAATTCTTATATATTTTAAATTAAAATATATAAGAATTAATTATTTATTATATACAGCACTGTAATGTGTAATTATTGAATATATAAAAACATTATGAATTAAGTAGAAATACTGTGTGATTTTGTCTTACAATAAAATTGAGGCAGAGCATTGCATTTTTGTAATTAAAAAGTTTTTAATTTTTATTAGTACTTATATATTATTTTTCATTCCATTTAATCCAAGTGGTGATTGTGTGTTTGAATGTATTTGTAAGTAGCATATATGTGTGTGAGTGAGAGAGTGTATGTGTGACCAGAGAAATGATTGCTGGCCACATGAAAAGGCAATCCTTACACTAATTGGCCACAGAGAGGTGATCCTTTCAATTTCCAGAAAGACATGATCCTTGTTTTTGCTGGAAAGAGAGAGATGATGCTTGCACTTACTGGGCACAAAAGATATGGTCCTTACACTTGCTGGACACAGACGGATGCTTTTACATTCACTCAGCATTGATTTCTCTGTTCTTGTGTTTTGTTTGTTTTTGGTGTCCATTATCTGTTAGATGTATACAATGCATTTTTTTTTATTTTTGGCACATTTAATTGTGCCAGGGAGCATGGACATTGTCACTTTTACTCCATTGTATCTCAAAGATGAAGTCATGGAACTCCATATTTTATTACATTTTTGGATTCCTCATTGCAATTAATGGAAAATAGCAAAGTTTAATCAAAATCAATCAATCAAATTTTGAGAATGAACACAATTCTGTAAATCACATAGAGAAGACTGTGTAAATGTTCTGCTTCGAAAATTATGTAAATTCCATTAGTAAAAGGGCAAAAATATAAAAAAAAATAGAACTAGTTATCAACTCATTTTTAGTAGAATTTAAAGAATAATTATTTGTGTTACAAATAAAATTATCACCTCATGAACATGCTCTTTCATTTCACAAAAGCTTCCAGCGTATTCTTCTAATTTGTCACAATCGCCGGCGCTAGAAGTATTTCTTAACAAATCAAGCAATTCCGTTCTTTGAATTATTTTAATTACTTCTTCAGCTTCATTCAAGGCTGTCTCTTCTAGCTAAAAGAATTAATGTACTTCATCACATATATGTAATGTATTATTTTAAAAATAAATCATTGAGATTAAGAACATTTATAGAAAAATTTAATTAAAAAAACTGAATCCACCACCATCATCTATTTTAAAATTTTACTTACAAAAATACTAGAATTTGACGATACAACTGTCTAAACTATAATATTGTAATAAGAACAGATAAAAATCTGCTGTAAGAAGATTACAATTATAGTTTATTGTAGAAATTTTCGTAATTGCATACAATAAATCCTTTACATGTCCTAAAATATATCTGAAATAGTTTAAAAAATACAGGATACATAAGAATCATAACATCCAAAAAACCTATCAAGTAATCTTTTAATTCTGCATTTAATTTTTTGACGTTCTTACTAAAAAGCAACTAAATTTTTTTTTTATTGGTATTATACTATAAGGATCCTCAAGATACAGTTTAAAAAATTAATTATATTATAAATAATTTTCAGTGTACATTACATATTTTTACTCTTCTCATTGTGGACACTAAAATGGCATTTTAATCCTACCTATTTTGGGTTTGGCCAGACCATGTGAGGGTGACTGGATGTTGAAGAATACAGCCCTAAGCATCTGGATAGACTACTCTCCAAAAAACTCAGTTTTATGATTGGCTAGATTTGATCCTGGATCCCTCAGAGAGGTAAGTTTATGCTTTAAGCTCAGTAATCTGGCCATATGGCCAGCAAGTTAACCTAATACAGTGCAAGTAATATTTTGTATTAAATTGTAATCCAACACAACATAAATAAATATATTATTATCTTATAAATTTCACAGATAATGACAACTTTTAAGTTTTTATTCTATGAATGGTTGTTCAAGGTTTTAGGTAAGCATGGACTTGTGAAACTTTTAATTTATTGATAAGTTTATATACTATTTAATATTTCATGTCAGAGAAAGCCTGTGCCGCATCACCTGCTACTCAATATAGGGTACAGGATCTTAGTTACTACAAGATTCAGAGTATTGGATTAGGACCATATTTGTGAGTCTGAGGCCCTAGACAAAAACTAGGTTTCTTATGTTTAAAACTGCTACCATTCATAAAAATGGTGCATATTTTAATTTCATATAAGATATGATAATTAAGTGAGAGAAAATATAAAATTACAGTTGCCAGTAACTAGATAATTTTGAATTTGGAAGACTGTATTATAGTTGTAGTTCCCCATGACTTTCTTATTTTGGTTTTTGGTTTCTATAGCATATACATTGCATGACACTAGTTCCAGTGTAACTGCCAGTGTATGAATGTTAAAAAATCCAGCAACAAGTTGCTTAACTTTCCCGGCAACATTTAAAACTGCATTTCGGGCAGACAAGCTGTCCCTCTTCAGCCATTTGTAAGTTCTAAAAAGCTATTTATAGTGCTCAGATAATTAACTGATAATAGTAGGACAAAAAGGCATAATATTAATTCAAGTGTATATATATTTATTCTTTTATTCTTCTATAAATCATTGTATTCATAGAGCAAGCAATGGTTTGCTCATTATGAGTGGATGTGCAATGGGGCCTGCCAACATGGGTGAGGAATAAGAAATGACACCCTAATTTATATAATATAAATATTCATGATATATTTTGGGGATTTTAATTACATTTGAACCCAGATCTCTACAACAGCAGGCTAAAATCTTACTGTTCAGCAATTTAGCCAACCAAAAAATATTCAAAATTAAGGAAAATGCCAATAATGTTTAATAATAACAGATTTTAAAATATTGAGATTTTATCATAAATAAACTGTAGCATTAATTGAGTTAAGAAATTTCAAAATTTAATAAATACCTACCTCCTGCCTGAGATCTTTAGTTGCTCGAAGCATTTGTAGAATAGAAGCTTCAAATTCTTCCATTTGGAACATAGAATCACCTTTATCCTGTAATATACAAAAAAAAAAAAAAATAATTTTTTAAAAATATTAATAGAAAAATATAAATTTTATTTAAAATATAAAATCATTACTAGAGAGCATCCTATACGAAGCAGATGATTCAATTCTAATTTAGCACTATTGCAGAGTAATATTATCTTCTTTCTATGGGAATGTGAAGTGTAAGCACAGTCGGTGAAGTCTTGTGTGCGTTCGATTATAGTCGATAACATACTTGTCAACTGCTCTCTACAAGCAGGACCAATAAATGATGTGCGGATTACTTCTACAGTACTCTATAATTATATATAAATATAGTATTTTTTTAAAATAATACAGAATAGGTGAATTAAGTTTATTAATTGAGTATCTCTAAATTAATGTAACATCAAGCAACAAATACAAATATTCTAAAAACCTTTGTTAACTAGGAACTACAATGGTCAGATGGACGATTCATTTTCATGTTTCATTCAGTTCATCTTTTGTTGCAGTTGCTGAAAATACTAATTTTACAAGAAAGAATAGCCATGGTTAGTGGTTTAACATACAAATAAGTTAGAGAAATAATACAATAAGTTAGTACCTGGTCCTACAAGAGCAAATATTCGGGTTCTTGTTGACAAACTTCAATGCACAAGAAATATTATGGACAAAGAGTGTTCAGTTAGTCCATCTGTATCTGTATACATTGCACAAAATATTCAGGAAGCCACAATGAATATTTCTTGCTTATGGTATGTCACTCAACACCTAAATCAAGAACTTGGTGTTTCTAAAAGCACAGTTTGAAGAATTTTACATTAAATGGGTGTCTGCCTATTTGTAACATTTCCAGCACACTGAAATTTGTTGGGAAGAAGCTGAATATTCACTATTGTGTTGGCTCATGTTTCTAAAATGTTCTTGTACACTTTTCTCTGACTCATTTATATGTTAAAGCCACTCAATTGAGCATTAACCACAACAATTCTTTCTTGTAAAATTAGCATTTTTAGCATCTACAACAACAAAAATTATAAGTTTATCATTTCATGAAAATAAATTGAGACTTTATGGGCACTATGTATGTATATAAACATAATTATTCCTTAATAAGTGAATTTCTATATAATATATATACATACACAGTAATATTTCAATCTGTACAGTTAACTTATTAAAGAAGTATTTAAATCTGTACTGAATGAGATGTATTTAATAGGAAAAAATGCAAATGCAGTTTAAACAGACATGTTCACAACATAGTAAAACAATAAACCTAACAGTTCACATAATTATAAATACAGAATGATAAACATCCTGTAGATTCTACTAATGTAGAATAGGAAGGTAAAATGAAGCTATGATCTCAGGAAACAATGCTCATACTTCATTTTACATTTACAGTTGTTCAATTCACTTATATCTGTATACTTTACATAAGAGGATAACAATTAAAATGGTGGCAGTTCCAGCAAAGATGTAGTTGCAGTTTGCCAGAACTGTCACCATTAGTATTAGTATGACTGAAATTTCCAGATTCCAATGATAGTCAACTAAAAAAGTGTCTTTTAGAGGAAGCATTAGTTTAGCATTTAGTTTATTATAAGTCACCAACAAACCAATGCACAAAATCTGAGAGTTCTAGCCAAATCTATGTAACTCAAAATTTTTTAACTTTGAAAGTTTTCCCCAACTGATTTGATTTAACAAGGTTCCACTGTATAAAGTCATAAAGCACCAAAGGCAAAAATGTCTTCTTCACAGCTTGGCTATGGCACCATTATCTAACTTTACCTACAATTAGAAAAAAAAAAAAATCCTCAAGACTGCAAAGTAATCATTTCAAAGCTAAAAATATACTGTACTGTACTATAATGAATTTCACACTAATTAAATACAAAAATTTCTTACTGTGAATTTCATAATAGTCAATATTTAACTGTATACATGGTTTTTTTTATATATTTAGATATAATTTAAACAATACGCATATCTTTTATTGCTATCATGTACCAAAATAAAAATATTTTAAAAATTTCTTAAAATAAAACTAGGTTAAATGATGAGAAGAGTTAAACTTAACTGAATATGAAATGCCAAAGCAATGACCTCAATAGTTTTTGAAGTATGCAAGTATTAATGTTCACATGCAGTATTCCATATTTTTTAAGGAAAAAGATAAAATGAAACTATTCCTATTATACTTTTCCTGCATAGAAATGTGTGTCAAATTCAAAAAATACACATGCAGTGTTTCATATTTCTTAAGGGGAAAATAAAATGAAAACTGTTTGTATTATACTTTTCCTGCAGAGAAACATGTGTGCCAAATTCAAAAAAATTGATGTATTGTTCATATATGAGTTATATGACATGTTTAAGACAGATTTACAGAAAAAAAAATTTTTTTCCATTAAAAGTTAGTAACTAGAATATTGAAATTAAATTTAAGTATGTACAGTCTTCTAAAATGAATGCTCCATTTTAAATTACTGTAATTATGTTAATTATTATCTGTGAAGTATATGGTTTAGAGAGTAGACCATCTGAGCTTCATCTCCCATCTGCATTCAAACATCTTACTGCCTGCCACTTCTAGCAAGTGCTATAAATGAAAATGGTGACTTCACAACAGAGAAGACATTTCCTGTTCTGCAGTTTGCAAAGTTGGAATCACTTGTCATTGTGCAACACAAGTAATATGTGGGGTTACACAGAATTGAGACTGTAGAAAGCAGAGGAAGAATCTGAGTATTGGCTGGATGTGTGCCATGTAACATGAGGTGCACACATTGAGTAATTTTAATGGGCAAATGTGAAACTTGGACAGTTTTTCAATGTTTTAACAAATATTACAACATTCTTGGATACTAATTAACATAATTACATTATTTTAAAATGATAGCAATCTTTTTGGACGATCTTGTATTACTGGTAATATAAAGAACTTACTTCAAAGTTTTGTATAATACTATGTATGGTCAGACATAAATCGAGATCTTCCATTTTCCAGCTAGGAGTTGGAGTTAATCTTCCATCTTCAAACGCACTACCGCAAATTTCTCGTTCGACGCTAATTCCGTCTCTGACTACAAAATGTACTAAATCCAATGCTTTTCTCACTTGTTTAAAAACTGTATCACGGTTCTTTTGGGCACTTAAACAATCAGGATGACGAAGACATGTCTAAAATTAATAGAAAAATTTAATTTCAAGGTTTTATTAATTTCTTAATTGGAAAATATTTTAATAATCTATAATTTAGTAGTAAATGTTATAAGTTCTTAACTAAGATGTGATTATTGCCTTTGTTAAAATCTCATTAATTTGATAGCACTTTGAATAAGGAGTGAAGAATAATGCAATTAGAAATATATAATTATTAGAGATGCCACTTCTGTCTTTGACAGCTCAACTTTGACATTTTGTATTTCTCTATATTATTCTATATCAGCACATAACAAAACTTCATAATTAACTGAAAAGTAATTTTTTTTTTATCAAATTCATGTATTATTTAATGAATATAAGTCTCTAAAGTAGGCAGGAAGAACTATGGCCTGAGGCATTCCTAAAACACTAAATGGCTAAACTTGGCTCTAATGAAGCATGAAAAAACAACAGGAAAACGTTAGTTTCTGTTAATATAATAATAATGTTAACCTTTTTCTTTAGTCAGATGAGCAGCAATTTTGAGGGAAAGCAAGGGGGCATCCATCATGTGCAACCTCCCATTTAGAGGATGTGACTTCATCATCATCATATATTAAATAAAAATATTGTAAATTCAAGAATTCACTAAGTATATTCAAACATATTTGGTTATTATTTGACATCATAATGTTTGATTTAATTTTAATATGTAAAAATTAAGAATATGGCAAAAGTTTTTCTAATTATTTTATTAACTTAATCATGAAAAAAAAAAAAAAGAAATATCTTACTTTGGAAGAAGTGAGTAACATCATCATCGACCGCTCTAAAATCTGTCTTGCAGCTGCCATTTGGGAATGTCTTTTTTCACTCTTTAAATCCTGTAACAAATTAATAATCACTTTTTATTGTTAATATATAATAAATCTAAAATAATATGCAATTACCTTTCTATAAAATTAAGATTCCTACTATAATATTGTATAAATAATACTCAAAAGGTTCCAATAGTACAAAAAGTTTGCTTATATTTTTAAAAGTTGAACAACTTCATTGTTGAATTAAACATTTTCTGGAATTTCTCTACTCCATCTTTAAATCTGAATATAAAATAGGTTTGATGGGATATCGAATGCAACACACATGCAATCCATCAAGCAAAGACATCACCCAAAAGGATTTTTGATTGAAAACTGAGCAGTATTTAAGTATTACACATGTGAAGAAAACCTGAAAAACTCCACAAGACCAGTCTGTTGGTGAGGCACAAACCCACATACAATTACTAGTGTTTCGTAGTTTTATTCCTTCGATACTGGTGAGTCCAAAAATAGAATTAGAATGATGATAATGTAAAAAATCAAACTAAAGTAGAAAACATTAATTCAACAATAAAGCTGCTTGACTCAGAAAATATAAACAACTGTTTCTTTTTATAATTATTCATAATAAGATTGAGTATTTACGAAAAATATTACCAAAAACGTTCCTTGCATTTTATGTTAAGAAATAAATACTACTGTAAATTAGTACTGCAAGAACTGAAAGTTCTAATTTGATTCACAATTCCAAATATTTAAATCCTATGATAACAAAGAAACTTCTTCTAGTAATCAATATTTTTAATCTATTGAGAGCTTTCAAGGAGTAAATTTCCTCACCTTCTAAAGAGGAAATTTACTCCTTGAAATCAATGAACCTAATAAAAAATAAAAACTTTTTACTTTTGTATGAGATTCACTTCTGAAAATAAAAAGATTTACTACTTGAATATATTCAACAGATTAAGACTTCTAGAAGAAGACTCTGTTACCTTTGAGTATATAAATATTACAGAATGCATAATAACAAAGACATTAAATAACAAATAAAATTTAAAAACTTAAATTATATTAAATGAAAACTTACATTTTGTCTATCTCCAGTTAAATGTGCTAATTCTACCATTTCATTTCCAAACTGATTAAATATTCTTACAAATTCTGTAAAATGTGTGACATTTTCTAAACTATCCAATGTTAATACTACCTAAAATATATAAAGGTGATGATAGAAAAATGTTAATTTTATTTAAAATGAAGAAGTTTTCTGTAAAATATATGTAAAAGAATAAATCATAACATTTTATTTTTCTTAAAATTATTTCTAAAACATTTAATTTATGCTATAGGTAGTCCAAAGGCCAGATTTTATGCTCATTGAGAACATATAATTGTGGTAAACGAAGTCTTTAGACAGTTGGATGACCGAGGCAGTTATGGGTCGGCCTACCGCTCTGTGGATCCAGAATTTAATCTGAATGATTAAAAAACCCCATAAATTTTTTGGGAGTGATCTGTACAGAATATGTCAAGCTCAATCCCTTGCCACTAAGCATACCCCATTATGGGACTGACCGAACTTGTCTGGTACATTTAAAAGGCTCTCTTAATGCCTATAGGCTGGATCATTGAGTGTATGAAAGAAAAGATCGCCCTAAAGATATCAATGAATAACTTAAAATATATTTTTTTAATTAATAAAAATATTTGATAAATTTAATAGATTCTTTTCATTAATATATCCTACAGTAGTCAGAATTAAAAATAAATCAAAGTTTAAATAAGTAAAATGAAGAACTATTTTTGAACATAGCATTTTGTTAACAGAATAAACTATTTCAAAGCAAAATAATCTTAATAGAATTAAGTAGACAAGTTTAAAAACTTGCTAAACATTTTTGATAAGAGACCCTACTTCATGTCAGCATTATTTTGGCTTTTTGGCTGTCTCAAAATTTATATTTTAATTTTGCCCAGATTCAATCATATTGTTACTGCAGTGTTTATATTTATGTTTTCAAATATAGGATCAGTAGAATATTCTATCACTATTGATTGAAAACTAAGTAAATGTGAACACAAATAGATACTTTATATTATTATGTTTATATTAAACCAAAATTCTACATTTTTGTCTTGATAGTACAAGAAAATGTATCAGCTCATTGTCAATTGAAAATGGAATACATTATCATGTACTCCATTTTCAATCTACTTTTAGTCACAAATTACCTTCCCCATTATAAATTAAGCTTTTTTTAGAATCTATCTAGCGAGTGGCTACTCTACATGTAAACTAATACTAAAACCAATAGGACAGTGTAAAGCTAGGGATTAATAAAATATATAAAAGGAAAGTCTAAGAGGGACATTTTTACTCGTCTTTACTTGCCCAAAATACAGATACATTCTACAATCAATGGATATTACATTCATGTTCCAAAACTACATTTATTAATCATTGCAAGAAGATTACCTGATGCGTTATTCACCATTAATAAATATTTTTTGCTATGTTGCTTAATGATATCAATTTAAATGAGCTTTCATACATCCCAAGTATGTCTGAGACCAACATAATTTCATATTGTTGGATTAGCACACAAGTATTTCTTTAATGTTCATATGAATATATTTTTAGCTCTATTATTGTGATCCATTCAAAAATAAGTTAAATTACTAGGACATCATGTGACTTTGTCATATTGTGATAGAATTGAATTGGAGCCAGAAGAAAAGAAGCAATCCTACACTTGTTAGGCACAGAAGAGACGATCTTTGTACAGTACCTGACAGATGTGGACACACGAACTTTCCACTTGCCTCCAAAAAAGAGGCTATCCTCATATCTGCAGGCCATGGGAGGCACAATCCTTGCACTGGCCAGGTACAGAGAGACAATCCAAGAACAAAGCAATCGATGCCAAGTGTCGTTCTTGTGTTTTATTTGTTTTTCATGCCTATTTTCCTTTAGGTGCACGTAATACTGACTTGAACAAAGTTGGGGTTTTTAAATGTGTTGGAATGGCAACCAATGAAATTTGACCTTGATATTAACTGTTGCATTAGTTTTGCTTCCTTTGGGCATCATTGTATAATGTTCTAATGTTTTTGACTTGTCAAATAGTTAAATCAATTAACTCTTACCTTTTCTTTAGCAAGAATTAGCTGCTTTACAACTACAGTATCTGCTAATAGTAATATTTGGGCTACTGAAGACAATAAAGTTTTGGCTGCATGGACCATACTTGTTTTATCTGCACACGATCGCCAACCACCACAATAATCCTGATGAATCTCACATACCTGTTCCATCATTGCACCTAAACATTTAGAAATTATTATCGCTATTAAAAAATAATAATAATAATACAATGTCTGATCAAAAAATACAGACACTTATTTTATGGACCAGAGCATATTTGAGCACTGGATCAATTAAATTTCATTAATGATTAATGCTTCTACTTGTTTAGTTTAGGTTAGGCAATAATAATGCTTATATGTTCTACTTTTATGTTGTTTCTTCAAAGCTTCATATTTAATTAATTATAATGCCAAAATATAGCATTTAAAGTAATTTAATTCAGAATTAAAATTCATATACATATTATGAAGTTAAAATATTCAATGTTCTATTCTTGATCATTTTTTTCTGTAAGAAGTTGCTTCTATTCAAATATTTCATGTGAATACATCATTTGTGTGAGTATTATTTAATATATTCACATGAAACTAACAAGTTTGATAGAAAATATCATTAACATTGTAAAAAAGAAATGTATGTAACAAGCAATAAATTATAAATGCCTTACTGACAATTCAACTGATGACAGACATATTTGAAAATAAAATGCATATACGAGGCGTGTTTTTAAAGTAAGTACCGTTTTAATATAACACCGCTGGAGCGCTGCAGTCGGCACTTAGCGCATGCGCGCTGTGTACCTACATCTGCTGGGAAGCCACAAACGCCATTACGGAGCCAGTCAACAGTGTTTACTGTTGTTTGTGTGTTATTGAAATGCCGCCGCTCATTGAGAATCCCGCCGACCGCGAAGTGCGTGCCGTTATTCGTTTTCTCAGTGCTAAAGGCTTGAAAGTGGCTGAAATTCATCGCCAAATCAGTGAAGTTTATGGTGAAAGTGTTATGAGTGATGGAATGGTACGAAAATGGGTTAGGGCCTTTAGTAATGGCCGCACAAACATTCACGATGAGGAACGAAGTGGGCGACCTTCAGTCATTATCGACAATTTGATTGAAAAAGTGGACTGTAGAGTGAAAGAGAACAGACGATTCACGATTTCATCTTTATCTAAAGAGTTTCCTACAGTTTCAANTTTTATAAAACAGAAATACTTGAAGTAACAGAGAATTTGACACATTAGATTTGTGCAATGAAAAACAGCTGTGTTCTTATCAGGCTACATTAAAGCTTATTAATTAATAATCTTAAACAATTTGGCTAGAGGTAGGCAATCAAGCTACCTACCACTCTGGGCTGATCTTTTCGTCCTGATTATTCTAAATTTAAGTTAAAAATTAAATTTATTTCAAATTATTAAATTTATCACTAGACAGTAACAAATAGACAACCAGAGCCAAATTATTTTATTTCTAATTGTTAAATTACCCTAGTTACAGCCTAAGACGTAATTTGGAAATTTGTTTGGCATATCTACATATATTAAAAAGTTTATTATTTTTAAAATTTAGAGTTAATGAAAGTTAATTATTTAGATGATGACAATGATGATATATAAATTACACCTTAGATTGATATTATTAATCCTTCCCTGCACTGTTACAGTTGTACAACATTAAAGTTTGCTTCATTTTATCTATAAATAATAATAGCGTGTGTAATGAATTCGGTAACACGAAAATACCAAAGCTTTTTACCATTAAAGGGTGCTATTTTCTTACATTTTCCAATTTATTTGAAACTTTTTAAATAACAATTCCTTTCACTATTGCTTTAAAGTGTATATAATATGATAATAATTCTTTCAAACTGTTTATAATGAAATAAACTTTGTTATAATTAGTAATGAAATATATCTGTAATGCACTACCAAGTATGCATTTGAAAACCAAAATATTGTTTTTATTAAAAATGACATTGACACCGATACCAAAACTGTATATAATGAAAATTCTTGACACCACTATTGCTGCTTTTGCTGTCAGAATGATTACTTGATGTCTCTATATCATGACTTTCCATAGTGAAATAATTATGACTGTAAAACGTAGTCACTGAATGAAGGTTTTACTGTATTGTGTTTCGTGTACATATAAGTTAAAACTGTAATAATTTAAAAATGATTGATATACGCATGCTTGACTGCAGTTTCTGTACATGTAAGGTTTACAGGTATGTTTTTGGAGATATCACTGGTTTTTTTCATTTCATGCTTTATAAATGGTTACATTAGTTCCCTCGTCTACAAAGTATTTATCTGTGGAAGGCCATAAGATGAAAATNCATTCTTTGAGGATGGAATACAAAAGCTGGTCCCACGATACGATAAGTGTCTCAATATTAATGGGAATTATGTAGAAAAGTAGTGTAAAATATGGGCTTTCACATAAATAAAAATTTTGTTTAAAATGTTTGCTTGTTTTTTTTATATTTCAAAACGGTACTTACTTTAAAAACACGCCTCGTAATATTAGATGCATTGTCTGGTAAAACAACTTTCATATAGCTGCATAAGCAAACCAATGAAACAAATGAAACAAGCTACATCAATTGGCTTGCCTATCCAGCTGTATATAATGTATGTATGTTTAATTTTCCAGCTTATAACTAGAAAATTAATAATTTGATGGTATTAATAAATGTTTACAAGTTAAATACAATAAAAATTACCTGCATTTCTCGCATCTCTACAAGCTTCATATATATCTTGTCTAATTTCAGGATTGTCATCTGCAATGGCTTCGCCGACATTAACGAACTGTTCGATCGCTATATTAACGGCTTGTCCTACTTGTACAATTGTATGGATGGTTCTCTGAGATTTAATAGGTCTAGCCTTTGCATTAACTAAAGTTGTTATCTAGAAATAAAATAACTAAATTGTTTAGAATTTATAAAAATATTTTAAGTAAATTTCTGAAATTATTTGATAACAATAAAGATCAAGAATGGTAAGAAAGGCAGCATCTCACCAATATTATATACTAATAAAGGGATCCTTTTTTTAATTGAGTTTTAATGGCATTAATAACATAATTTTAATATTTAGTCTGAAATATCAGCTTAAAAACAGAATTTTCTTCAAGATTATAATTAAAGACTACACAGTTGTAATTATTTTTCTACTTTAATTTGGTAGAAGATATTTTAAAATATTAATAAAATTTTTCCATGTCATTTCTTTCATCAGATAAGATGCTACCTATCTTAAAATCACCTTATATATACCTAGAATAACAAAATTTGAGTAACATTATATATTAAATTCAAATTAATTAATTTCTGAAAGACTTTATATACAATTTTTAATCATTTGTTTATACCTAAATAACATTATCTATATCCAAACATCACTAGAATTAATTGAATATTTAATACACCGTCTCAATACATTAATCCATATGACTGGCTAAACAGAGATGGGCAACCTACAACTCTGAACACAATCTGATCCACAGTGACCACCAGCAGCTGAGTGAATAAAACAACTGAACACTAGTAGTTGGTTGTGGGTTTGCACCTCACCAATGGGTTGGCAAAGTGGACTTTTCTAAGTTTTAAATGCATTTCTATCATCTAAACAGAGACCATTATTCCATAGAAAGTTTTCCCGGAGGCATCCCCTTTGGCAGATCACCTGTGCTTCATTGTCATATCCCATTGAACCAAGCCCAGCTCAACACAGTTTTTGAAAATATATATAACAGAGTATCTTAAATTTTTATTTTGTTCTTCTTATTAATAAAATCAATTATTCAAATGAGTATGTGTAAAAATTACAACATACAACTGCTTATAATAACTTCTTCATTCTAATCTTATAAATTGTGAAAAGATAGAAAAAATGACTTTGCTTGCCATTTAAAAAAGCTGCCATCTCTTAGCTAACTTTACCCATTATATGGCAATCGGCAAAAACAACATTAACTAAGATAAGGGTAGGAAGTTATGTGCCAATCTAACAGTAACCCAAATAATATCCTAAAACAACACTTAAAATTTAATGTTTGTCTTAAGAGGGGGCAATTAAAAATGACTATAAGACATGAAAATGTGATATCTTGTATCCCCAGTTTCTTTTAATGTTCTCTTTGTATAGGAATAGTCTGTGTCCTTAATAAATTGCTGACAGCTCTGGTTTACGTGACTAATTCCGATTCAATCCCTCATCAAAGCTAGCATATATTTTATCACATAGTCACTCAATCAATTATGTATTTGTGTTTTGAGTATGTACAGACAGGCCACAAAGTCCCACAAGTACTAGTTATTACTTATATTATTCCCTTCATTTTACACCAAGTTTTAATTTTTTCCGCGAAATTTTCTGGATAAATTCCAAACTGACAACTGGATATTAAAGCAATCCCTAATACCTAATGTAAGAGTTGATAAATTTTGTTTTAAACACTGCAAAATGAATCATCATATATGAAGATTAAAATGACAATTTAAGGTAATGCAACACATGAAAAATCTGACTACTGAAAGGGCTCTTACAAGAAACTGGTCCCTATTTAGACATTAGGGACATGCAGTGACAAACTGGGACATGATTTTGAGTCTGGAAATATTGGGACTACTGGCCCACTTTACTAACTACAGTCAACTATTAATATTCCAAAAAAAAAAAAAAAATTGGATGAATGGGGTTACCACTCCATTCATCCAATTTTTTTTTTGTAATTAAATACAAGTGACTATAAATAATACTTGGAAATTTCAACAAACAGCATTTTTATGTACACAATTTCTAACAGTTCCAACCCCATTTTGGCACCAGTCCTTATAGCATTTGCCAGTATTGACCTTTAGTCAGTCTGTCCCTGGGCACAAAGAAAACTGCACATTAGTCAAGTGGTCAAGTGCAAACCCATGACTAACTTAATACCAGTATTCAATGGTTTTATCTACTCGACCACCAATTGGCTCACATTAAGACTGGCCTTCAAGAAAATCACATATCAGATCCACATCCACCGAATTTCTCCGAGACACTTTCTAAGAGAATCAAAACAATCTTTCACACGATTCTGAACAGGAATTCAGTCAATACCCAAATACCATACAGGTACCATTACACCTCTAAATGAGAGAGACAGTTCGAACCTTATCACAGCCATAGACCATATCCACAGGAGCAAAAAAGTCAAAAGAACCATACTTCCACACCCCGTCCTCGGCAAGATACGGCTCCCAAAATCGGCTCACTTCCGGATCTCAGGAGTTGCACGGCATTGACAAGACTATCGTATTTAACTATTTAGCCCACACAAATATGGTGGCTTTGAGTGGCAGCATAGTTTGCGGAGTGCTCGACATTATATAGTTTTAGGGGGTACAGAGCACTGTCTCGGACTTCAATGCTTGCCGTCACTCAGACCAAAACATGTAACCACACGTTCCATGTCGGTCAAGGCAAACTATTGCACATCTCGACCAACACAAAGCATAGTAGTACCGGTTTGCGGTAAAAACTGACTGTCTGAGGCGAATATCCGGCAAAGAGTTGCACGTACGGGTACGGTCCCTTTGACTTTTTTGCTGGTACAGGGGGGGCCTATAACTCCGGGGAGTGACAGATCCTTCATTCAGAGTTTACAGCTTACCTCTCCGGTGACCTTTAACCTTTCCAAATAATTTTATTTGCAGATAAGATCTATAAACCGGAACATTGTCTTATAGGGAAGATGAAGACAACTAAAATATATTTAACGAATTATGGAGCTGTGTAAAGAGGAACCAACCTGCGTAACGAGGGGAACTAGCGTCTGTTCGATCGATTTCGTTTTAATTTTCAAATTTTGTAATTCATGTCTTGACCAAGTCGCCATATTGGAAAAATTCGTCAAATGTTTGTAGTAAATAACGTGTATATTAGATTCGATTTATATTCCGGTTCCACCATTTCTCGTCACTTAGTATCTACTCGCTTCGATTATATTAATTATGTTGATTTAACGTTAGAATTTTTATTATACAACAGGATAATTTGACATGTCTGTATCCCTAGTAGCAGAAACACGGCTAATGCGCCACCTACTTTAATTTTTCAAACGTTAGTTTCTTAAGACATTTTTTAAAATTGTAAATATAATTTACATTTTGTTTAAAAAAATTACAGTATTAAATTTTATTAATATATATTAAAATTTGGTATTTATTTAAAAATAAAATATAACTTTGTTATTGAAATTTACATAATTTCATTTTTTCTTAATTTAGTAAAATCGCCACCTGTTAATTTTTTTAAAAATGATATGCTATTTCTCTTGACACATTTGTAAAACTTAAAATATTAAAGTACAAAATGTATTTTAAAATTAACATTTTAATTGTTGTTTAAAATTATCGCTTTTTATTAATATATAATAACATTTTTAGAAATGTTAGTCATGAGATTTAATCATTTTATTAATTTATGTTTTATAGTACAGTAGACCACACTATAACACTGTAGATAATTCCGTGTTATATGAATTCCATGTTGTACGAGTCACTTAGATTTTACAACTACGTGTGCCGGGCTGTGAACGGCTCACGTATTTGTAAAATCTAAGTGATTCGTATAACACGAAATTATCTACAGTATTATAGGGGGATCTACTGTATATCTGCGCGAAAGATCGCCGAGTTTCGAATGGGAGTCAGAGTTCGGATCTCGTTTGGAGCAATTACTATTTTAATATTAATACTTTTCAGTGAAAATTATTTGCATTTTTAAAGTGAGATCCTTATTGATGCAAATTATATGTTTAAATATCATTTAAACACGCATAAGTGAGCCGGCCGAATAGTCCAGGCGGCTAAGGAATCAGTACTACCATTTTGGAGGACTCGGAACCGAACTCGGGCGAGTGAAAACCCCAGGAATTCTTCATATTCCGAGTACATCGGGCCTGTTTCTTCCGATTCATCATCCCATTACAGGCTTAGCCTAATCTACGATAAGACTGTAAAAATACTCTCTTTGTGCCGACAGGTCAAAAAGAGTTAACATAAAAAATTAAGAAAACAATAATTAATTTTAAAAGAGAATTATTCTGTATAAAATGCGCGTTCTATTATAATGTAACACTAATTTATACGTGCATGCTACACTGTTACAATTTCTAACATTTGTCTAGTCAAACTGCTTTTTGCCCAAACGGAAAGTCGTTTCTTATCATCTGTTTAATGAAAAGTAAAAATATATTCATTAGGAATCGCATCGTTTCCGATTTACATATCCAAAAAGTTAAAGCTACACGTTATCTCTTTTTGATATTTGCCATGCAAAACATGAAGTGCCTCCTGGAAGTAGCCTCACACAGTTATAAGCACTTTCATTATAATTGTCAATAGTGGCATGCAGTCGTCTCTGGAATGTCGTTGATGACTACATTCCGAAACGCAGCAATTCTGTAATATACTCCACATTTGTTAAAATGCATGATTATGGGCCAAAATTATTCATATACTACACCAATAACTATAATAATAATTACATTAGAAATTAAAACTTTTAAGAGCAATGTAAAGCAATTACAGTAATGTCATGCAACTTAAAAATCTAACTTAATTGATAAGTGACTCATTAGATAAAATCACCGAGTGCCTGTTGGTCGTGGGTTCGCATCTGACAAACGGACTGGCCGCGTGGAGTTTCCGAGTTTTTTCGCTTGTCTAACACCTAAATAGAGGACAACTTCTCGTAAAAAGTCATTCCAGGAGGCGGTCTCCCCTTGGCAGCTTGCCCACATATTGTGTTGCCGTATCCCATCAAACCAATCAGCCTTGTGTTAAAATTTTTGCTCTAGATCTCTTATTTATAGTTCTTACCCTCTGCTTAGCAGTGGCGTACCGTAGTGGGGGCGACAGGGGCGGCCCGCCCCGGGCGGCACTTTTTAAGGGGCGGCAAAATTTCACAATAAATACAGTAATAATATCTTGTAAAAATTTGAAACATCCTAATCTATACGTGCATCGCGCCTACGATAGTGCTATCGTCCGGACAGTCCGGGAATCGGCTAGCCGTCCGGGTGAACTAGTAATTTTTTCATCCGAGGAAATCCTGTGAAACCTGTTGACCCTTTTTTTTTTGTTTGTACGATTCATTCGCGTTCATATACACCACTAATATACAATAGAACTATTTTAAACAAGTCGCTGCACTACCACCGAATTTTTCATTGCTTGTTCTGTGGCAAAACTGAATTTTGGTCTGTTAAATTGAAATACAGTAGAGCATCGATTATCCGACCCCGATCAACCGTCACATCGGTTAACCGACCGTTCTAGTCGGCAAATTTCAAATGTCCGCTAGTGATGTGGCGCTACAATATTTGGCTATGTCTTGGCTACTTTAATATTATTTTTGTTAAATTTTTGCGTGTTTTAGGCTGGCTTGACCATGAAAGAGAGGCCAGTATTTAAACGAGGCTTAATTTTTTAATTATGAGTGGTTGTTTGTTTTGTGAGCAATAAAATAATTTAAAAATAATTTTTAACTATAAAATAGCAACGATTATTACTTAAAAAAAAAAATTTGTTAGGCTTAACATCGATGAACATTCAACGCGAAGTAGGTTAATAGAGATATACTAATTACATGGGATATACTAATATAATAATATACTATACTAATAATGTAGTTTTTCATACTTTTCGGTTATCCGTTTTTTCAGTTATCCGACCAATCTGAGTCTCCAATTGAGTCGGATAATCGATGCTCTACTGTACCTAAATAAGGGAGACCGAAATTTTCCTCCGCCCCGGGCGGCTGACACCCACGGTACGCCACTGCTGCTTAGAGACTTTTATCACGCCCGATCAAACCCGTAATGAATCTATGGATAGACTGATGCCAAACTCACAATGGATGGATTAATAAATAAGATAACACAACATTTGGGAGATCTGCCAAGGGAGACTTTCTACAAGAAACTGGCCTCTAATTGGACTCATAAAAAATCTGGAAAATTCCACGTGGCAGCGCGTTGATGAGGCGCCAGTATTCAGTGGTTTTACCCATTTGGCCACTGGTGGGAGCCAAAACTCACAATTGAGGAGGCCAAATGGCGAGGAACAAGTATTGTTTGTATATGCATATCGCTGGCGATCTGTCGAGGGAATTTTCTATCGGAAACTGTCTCTTATTTAGATGTCACAAAGGTGAAGAAAACCCGGAAAATTCACATGGTAAGGCTGTTGCCGAATCCACGACCAGTGTTCAGTGATTTTATCCACTACGCTACGTGGATGTTGGACAAGACTCAACATATTAGAAATTTTTAAAAATCAACCTCTAAAAATTTTAAAAATTTCTATTGACTCAAACCGAATGGTGCAACTAGTACCTTCACCATCCCGCCAACATTAGTCTGCCACCGGTTGAATAGCCAAGGCAGATTAGATATCATTTCAGTGCTCTGAGGGACCCAGGATAGAATCAAGAAGATCAAAAACCGCAGGAATTTTTTTGGGATGATCTATTCCGAGATCCGTGCCTTACAAAATCTTTTACTACCTGAGGTACCCGCCTTTACTCAGTAAAAACCTGCAGAAGGGATGCGCACCCTGCTAAATCCATCCTGGCATAATGGGTATGGTTAGAAGACCCTCTTAGCGGCCCATTTGGGTTCTAAGTGTAAAAAATCGTTCAATTTTGCACTAACTTTTTCGAGATAAAATTCTCTGAATGCTATTTATTTCATTTTATTAAATCTAATAAATTCTAAAACAGAAAATTTACTAAATCAGCAGCCACGAGAGATACGATACAATAATATGTAACGAACTATGCAAAGATTCTCACCCTAAAGGTCGTGACCTCTCGAAGAACTCTTCAATAATTAGTTCAATCAAATTACAGATCGTGCTAACTTTTACCGGGTTAATTGAACCTGGTTCAACTTCCTCTATTGATTATATAAATTAATCATAATCAAATTTAATAATATTAATCTTAAGATAAGCGTAACCCTGTTAAGTAAATAATTAAACTGACAAAATAATAAATTCCCACGCTCTTCTCCAGGTGGCGACACTAAAATTTGTTTCGCTTCGCATGAAGTATGATCTCTATAGGGTGCCATTTGTTTGATGATTTCTCTATAATTCGAGGAAATTAAAACATTTTGCATGAAATTATTTACAACTACCATTTAAAATTCTAATCACCTTCTAATAAACATTATTATTTTATAAATTAAATGCAATTAGTCTGAAACTTCACTGCTCATTGAAGGCTAGACATAATTATTCTCATTACTTGCGGGCCTAAACAAGGCAATGTTCTGAACTTGTGGCCTTAAGCTAAACGTACAAAAGGCCCTTTCTCTTTGTCCATCAGTATTCTAAGATTTAGCAGGCCTTAAACTATAATTGCTTAGTTTCATGTAAACCTGGTCCTCCTGGAATTGAACAGCAATGTGTGGCAATGCAGATAGGTTACAAAATTTTCAAAATTTGATATTAAATTTCTACTGAAGTTAGACAATTTCTAGTAAAATTTCTGAGATTTTAGCTTAGATTCACTCTAAAAAATTCAAAAATTATAGTCAAATCTCCAATTTAGAGCGTCAGATTCTTGGAATTTCGTGCTAATTTTATTAAATTTCTCAATTTCTTAGCTCATATTGTTTGAAAAGAGTTTATATATATATTTTTTTTCCATAAAAATAAGCGAAATTAAGCAAATTATCGCTAAAATCTACAATCGAATCTATTCAGTTGACTGAATGCTCTGAATCGTCTTCAAATGATTGATTTTGTGCACGATAGAATGGAATGATGACCATTTATCCACTAAACATAGAATCTAATAGTTCGATTTATAAATAAAGATATGACCTTATCTCAATTCAATATTAACGCACGCTGGTTATTATTATAGTAACATACGATAAAGAAAGATGGCCGCATGCACGTGGTAAATGACATACATTTAACAACACGTGGGAGTTTGACCGAAGGGTAGAGTTTTGTATTATTATTGTTCCCAATAACACACGAAGATCAAAAACTCCAGAAGAAAATTCAAGTTTTATTGATATGGAATGAATAATTATCATGCATAACAGCCGAGTAACTTGTGTGACATATTTTATTTCTCACAATATAAACATGTAAACGAATTTAGTTACATCTAATCAGGTTATGGAACATGTTCCCGGGTACCGAAAGATGTTACAGAGACTTGTCATTCGATTTTATTAAACATTAACTGCAGAGCGGGTCCCATAACCTGGCAAATCTCGAGTGACCATGAAGTATTTTAATGACGGTAATTTAATTAATTAAACAATAAGTCGTATACACGAAAGAGGGGAGTGTGTTAAGTCAGCGTGAGAGATACAAATACAAGAAAAATGGGGGAAAAAAATGGAATCTACTTGTGCGATGCGAGTACCCAAGTCAAGGAAGAGACTCGTTAAAGGTGGTATTTCCTGTTGATAGGTCAAAATATTACTTTGAATGAAGTTTTGCCCTGACCTCACCTAACTCCGATTCTACCCTGTGGCTGTTTACGGTATTAGTGAAAGGATCTAGGTTCCTTTAAATCATCAATAAAATATTTAAGATGTAAAGAATTTTTTAATTGAAATCTATATAAGAACATTCATTGTTTTCCATAGGTTTGCCTTTGTAAAGGGGTGAAAGAGCGGTGCCCTCTAAACAGACTTAAAGAATGTTGACGTTCGTCTTCCTACATACAAAAACTAGTATTTAAAAGTTCAATTTCCCCCGCAACATGTAATTACAGTGTTTAATTTTACAAAAAAAAAGAGCTCAATATACGATCTTAAAAACGCGTTAAGATCAAAATATGGCGGCCTAAATTGAGCTATAAATAAATTTCTCTGTGTTTGATATATTTATGTTCGGCACGATTGAGAAATTTTTTTAAAAAAATAAATTCTCTAGCTGAAAAAATAAAATGATTACATTCTAGTAAATAGAGGGAAAAGGGGGTTCAACAATGACGCTCGCGATCTCCTTAAGGCCTGGTCATTGCAGTACATTGCCACTTGATGATCAGGGTTTACAGGTTAGTACGAACTCTTCCTGTTATCTACGCTCTACCGGAACCACAACAAACTTGTCTTCGTCTCCTTTTGTGTGGGAATAATTGTGCGCGCGTGCAAGTGTATGTGCATCAAGTGTGCCAATATGACCTGTATTCGAAGCTGTAAACTGCCCTTTCCCCATTTCTCCCCTTACTAGAGAATCGAGGGAAACTAAGTATTTTTATAAATATTTCGATCTGATGTCATCCCCAAATATAACCGTTACACCTGAATAGGACATCCTCTTGTATGTTCTATTTCTGACCCACCTTTAGAAATCCGGGTGACGCGCTACACCAAAAATTCAAGTAAAGTTAAGTAAAACAGAAGAAATTACATCATGAGCATAGGAAGGGGAGCTGATCAGGAAGCGGGAAATGTCGCATAGCCTGGAGACTTCCGTATTCTCTTAGCATTCGTCAAAGGTCAAACGACATCCGTTTGATGATTTCTTCCAGTTTCTTTTCAGTAAAGACCAGAAATAAAGCAATAATAATTGAAAGAAAGCATCATTCTTCCGTCGAACACTTCGTAAGGTTATCGAAAATGTCATTTTTACACCAAAACTTTCAATTTTTTGGTTGGAAAAAACATTTGTGATGAGCGTTTTTTTGTTCGCGCGCGTGTATTTTTAATGGCAAACAGAGGGTGCCATGTTTTACTGACCCAAAAAACTCAGACAATCGAACTGAAAGTTGATCTTCGATGGCTCGATACAATCTCATGACAATGGGCGGAAATTACATACCAGACCGTCTATTTCGGTACTTTCCCATCTTTATCCAGCGCTGCTAATTCGACAGGTGTGGGTAATAAGGTCAGCGTGTATTTTTATAAGGTCAGACGGATGCTCGCCAATGTTAGAATTTCACACGGAATAGATGGGTCACTAAATCGTCTTCCTACCCTCACGTTGTATAATCTATTAAGAGTAATGACCACTCGCTCCATTGTTACGAGGCACGAAACTCGACAATGGTCACAGGAGATCCTTGCAAGATGCCAAACTCGGAAACGAATACACGCAATCTTCCATCCTTTGTATATAGGAAAACGGGGAAAAATAAATCGTAAAGGATCATTAACTGGAGGAAAATTTAATTGTTTCACTTAATAATTAATGCTTTTACGTGTATTTTTTTTATTGAAATTTATTTATTTTTTTTCTTTGTGTCTGGGTCAACGGGGAAAAAGACTTTTTAAAAACATTACTGATTATCATTTCTCTTACATTTTTCGTTGTTGAAAAATCTTTAAAGGAGCGAAGTAGAACTGGCCTTGACCTTAAGATCCTACATTAGAGTTGAATGACCTGAAGAGAACGCGGAACCGGATTGCTATATTGGGTACTCGTACACACACGACGTATCTTCTACTGGCGGTCAAGGCTACGTCGACGACGACCTAGAACACAAGACGAGGTATTCTTTCTTCGCAACTTCCCCCCTTTGGTATCTAGGTGACGACTGCTTAGCCTTAGGTATTTGTACACCAATAGGATCGTCTCTAGCATCCTTTCCCTACAAACAGAATTTTTCGCACCGCGTCACGTGACCGTAGTACCCGCCCATAAACCCCATTGGGATATAAAATGTAGAGACGTCGATTTCGCACGTAAAAAAGGATCGTCTTTTGATAACGTGGTGCAGTCGATGCGAGTTGGAAGTAGATTTATGCGAAGGGAGTACACGATTCAGGTAAGAGATTAAAGCTTCGTATTCGGAGTTTAAGATAGATCTTTCGAGTAGAGATTTCTGATTCCAGCCGTTTGTTCTAGGTGAAAATGTTGTGGAATTTATTAATATTCGGCTTAATAGCCAACGTGTTTGCCGCATCTTCCAAGCGAGACGATTACAGTAGTAGTAGCAGTAGTGGAAATAGCCAGTCTGTTAGTTTCCCATCTTCCTCGTATAGCAGTAGTAATAGTGGGAGCAGTGGGTACACAAGTGGTTCTAGCAGCTACGGAAGCGCGGGTTCACCAACTTATACCAGCGGATCTAGCGGTTACAGCAGTGGTTCTAGTGCATACGGCACCGGTTCTTCTTCCTATGGTACCGGCAACAAAGCATACAGCAGTGGTGGTTCTCCCGGATACGCTAGTAGTTCCACGTCTACAGGAAGTGTTTCTTCTCAGCCAGCATCTCAAGGGAATCTTTACTATTACTACTACCCCGTTCAGCAGAAACCTCAAGATGGTAGCAGCTATGTAGCTCAGGGTTCCTCTTCGGCAGGATCATATTCATCATCAACTGGAGAAGATAATTATGATAGTGGTTCCAGCGCCGCTGTCGCTTATGGAAATCAGGTAGCGGCTGCCGGAAATGGAGATTATGAGGCTCAAGAATCGAATTATAACGGAGCAGTTAGTCCCTTAGATGCTAATTATGGAACAGCTAGCTTGGGAAGCCTTGGAGGATTTAACGCTGGAAGTTTCGGATCGAATGGCTTAGTTGGAGGTGGAGGATACAACTCTGCAGCTTCTGCTCAAGTTGGATACGTAGCATCCGCACCTGGAGTAGGATACGGCAGTGGAAGCTATGGAAATAATTTAGTCGGTTACCCAGCAAGCTACGGAGCTGGCTATGGTTACCCACAATCTCCAGAATTTAATGGAGGAAAGAGGTTTGGCTTAAGTTCTCTGATCATGCCAATGCTGGCTCTGGCAGGTTTAGGACTATTGATACCCACTGTAACTAGTTTAGGAAGTAGAACCAAGAAAACCAAGAGATCTCTGAACGACCCTACGTCCTTCTCGAGCATAGGAGAAAGGCTAGATCGATATTTGGCAATCTACAGATCTGCAACAGAGAGCGAAGAGTGTATCAGTAGAATCATATGCGAATTAGGAAATACAATGACCGACGTAACAGGGAAATCCACGATTCTGACGTAAGTACAATGCAAATATATACGTAATTTATATTCTCCCCTATCTCGTGACGTAATTATAACTAATTAAACTTTTATTTTTTTTTTCTATTTAGCATCTTAGAAAAGGTGGTTCCAAGTTGGATGAAACAGAAAATGGGTGTTTTTAAAAACGCAGTCCTATCCAGAGATGCAGGAAAATGTCGGAAGTATAAATGCTGAAACGAGACAAAGTTAAACGTAAAAAAAAAACTAGAGGAGAGAAGGCATACATCTAACGAAAACCCTGTATAACTAAAGACATTCATCAATGTATAATATCCAAATATAAACACATATATATAAATTATATATACTTGACGTGTCTGCCTCCAGGAAGCCGGTCTTCATTCACTGTTTCTCACGTGACCTGTAAAGAGCCCGAGGGATAACGACGACCCAAGCGAATAAAAACGACCTGGTGACCCTCAAAACAAGTCCGGCAACAACATCCGGGTCGGGTCAGAAACAGGGATTTGGCCGGATCTTCCTTGGCAAAGTCATCCGTCTGTTAACAGAATCGAACTCGTGCTCTAACATGATCCAAAGTTAAATTATGGATCGACTAACAGATCATTATATATACATATATATATATATTTTGTTTTATTTAAGTGAACTGTTAAATCCGGTTCTTTATTTTTTTTTTTAATTTAAGCTCAAAGTTTACCCATAGTCGACATTAGCATCTTCATGTTCCACGTTATTCTCCTTGTAACACATTATTATTTTAAGGCTCTCACTTGACTCAGTGGACATCCAATCGCCAAACATCAATTTTTTCATCTCTCTACGAGATGTTTGATGTAAGTCCCTTGGGAATTGGGACACTATATGTATTTATTATGTGCTTTTCTTTCGTGTACGTGTTAAGAATAAACGTGTATATTGTTGGAGTGATGCTTCCATTTTTTCTAACATAATTTACATATATTTTTTTAAGAGGAACAGCATAGTAAATCATGCATAATCCATTTTAAATCTCCATAAATTAAATTTGAACCACTTTACTACATAAAACATGGAAATTAACTTTAAAAATACTGAATTAATTGTAAAATTAAAATTTAATTGCAACCATTTAAGAGCTTAAAAATATGAAAAATTAGTAAATTCCTTTCATCATTTTCTCTTAATGTTATAACCTCTTTATTAAAAGAAAAAAAAGTTACAAACTCAGACAGTTAAATTTACAGTTTTATAATTTCAAGTGTAAATTTCTTGTTAAATAGTAAAGAAATTTAATACAAAAACTTCAATGTGAAAATCATAATAGAAAATGGAATCTTGTCTTAATGCTGAGATAAATTAATTTCGATTGCCTCCAATATTACTTTTATTTACATCAAAATTTGAATATATAACACAGGACGATGTCTATTCACCAAATAATTACTTTAACCCGCACCTTCGAACACCACAGAGGCCTCGGTGGGTACATAGAATGGCCCCATTTTATAAAATTCTCTCAACTGCATGATGGCTTCTGTATTATATATGTTTTCTATTATTGGTGACTTCAACAATACTTCCACTACTCCAAATTTACATTCTTTTCCTTCTTTAGTGTATTCCGTTGACCTATCTAACAAATATTCCAGGAAACCGGGAAATGAAGCCAACTCTTTCACTCCCCAGACCTGCGACGCGATAGCCTGGAGGACAGACAATGCACCACATCTCAAATCAAGGAATGGAGACTTGCAGTAAGCCATTAAGGTTGTCATTGGACTGGAAATAATTCTCCTGAACCAATTTTCTGTTATGTCTTCCACGTCCGGAGATTTACTGTCCTATACAATAAAATATAAACGGGATGAAAATTAGTTTTCAGAATTTACAAAGTCCCAGAAAAATTGTTCTGCCTTGTCTTTATGTCTTCCTAGACACAGTAATTTGGAAATACAGCAAATTCATAGATAAAAAAAACAGCATTTTTTAATGCTATTCTGACCTTTGACCTTTAAAGCACATAACAATTTAATTGATAACCCATATCCAACCATTTCAAATCCAACTATGCTATCAGATTTAGCATTGAAAATCTTTTAAAACTATGTTTTGAACATTAAAGGTCATGGGTCAAAATGTTAAAAATAGCATGAAAAACTGCAACTGTGATCTATTAATATTTCCAAACTTTCAAATTTCTGAGTTTCCACAGATGTAAGCCTGGAAACAGCCTATCTGGGACACAATATATTACTTATTTGTTGAGAACTGAAGCAGACAAATAAAGATTGTAAGCTTAAATGTGATAACATTTGGATTAAAATTAACTTTTGTTAACATTAAACATTATATATCAACATAACATTATATAATTATGTTACGTACAGTAGAACCTCCATTATCCGGACCTCCATTATCCGGATTTTCGATTATCCGGATTGCTCAAAATATACTAAAAATTTTACGAATTTGCTGATTTGCACTTGGCGAATTACGACACTGTTTATGTACGTGATGGAATGCATAACTTTTTTTGTTTCAACAACGTCTCACCCAGCACAGTGGTAGTAAACTCTTAAATATATTTTACGTAGTAATAAAAATATAACTTGACATACGTATTTATAAATAATTTATATTCAAATTACATCATTTCTATGACCAAGGGCGGCGTAAGGCATGGAC